AAACAAATAAGTCGGCGTGGGATGTGCTCGCGATGGCATTTTATATAAAAAAAAAAAAAAAAATAAAATATATGAATATTATAGGTGGATTTCATTAATAACGATATCAATAGGAACAGTAAAAAGCCAGGAATATTCAAATTCCAGTAAGAAATCAGAAATAAAGATCTATTATAATAATACAAGAAATATGATAGGAATAGACTATTATCAAGCTGACACAATAATCTTGACGCAATTTCAATACGATAAATGTAATATAGAATCGTTACAAATTATATGTAGCACCCCATATCAAGGAAGTGTACCTCAACTGTTTATTCTTGAACATGAGTACCTATTGAAGAAATCATGTACAATACAACTAAAAAATAAAAATGGATCATATTATGAACAACTCAAAATGGAATCGGAATATTATATAAGTTATCGTCGAATGGGAGAAATAAAAAAAGTAAACAATGACAATGTAAAGCAAACGAATATCACGGCAACGACAACTAGGTCAATCAAGTTCAACGTCACGGACGTAACCAATGATTATACAAACGTAACTGGCACAGTGGGTCACGCTACACAGGCAGCACGAACCGGACGTACAATATCAAATTACGAATTGAATAATGTTACGGACGAATTATCAACACAACACTGGAGTACCACAGAAAGTGAAAATATACATTACGAAACAACTGGAGGCAGATATTATGTGTATAATAATGAAAAAACAGTTGTGTGCATTCCGGATGAACGCATAATTTATTACCTATATATAGTATGCGGAATACTAGGAATAATAGTAATAATAATGCTGTTGATAATGACTACTATAGTAAAGCACTATAGACTAGTCAGGAAGGAGAGATATAGATACCTAGTACAAACATTAGAGTTTACGGAAATGGACACAATACGAGCCCGTAACGACATAGTAAACTCGCGACTTTAAAAAAAAAAATATATAACATAGAATTAAATTAAAATTAATTAAGTAGTATATAATTAAATAATAGAAAAAAATCTAATTATAGGGAAACATACAAATCATTCTGTACAAGACTGGATTTCGCCATTGTGAACGGGGAACATGACAAATGTACGATAGGTGACGGAAGTAATATGCCACCATGTTTAACGAAACATATACAGACAGCGAACAGCCAACTGGCTGAACCTTTCTCGGAAGATAAAATAAGAAGAATGGAACAAAGCATCGCAACATTTCTTTACGACATGTCAAAAGGCAGAAACGGGAATAAATACTGCCAAGAATTAATCGAACATATGGAATACATACCGGAACCAGAATTGTTATTGGAATATAAATAAAATTGATATATCATAAGGTGAAATTAAATACAAAGATATAATGATAAGTCTAGTCAATAAAAGTAAAATAATAGGAAAAAATTTTTTTTGTGTTATTTTAGGATAAGTATGCATGGTAAGGGGTTCCTATTAAATTAGTATATGCTGGCATAGCACAAGCTTCATTTAAAGAAACCGTAGATAGAAATTATTTTAAAATACGAGTAGAAATAGTAAACACAATAGTAGTTAGTTAGAATTAAAATTATTATTTAAAAAGATAACTTGTAGGGAAGAGGAGATAACGGCATTGGTGATCACTGATTCGGATGGGACTAAGCCACTAGTGCAGCTCAGCAACAGTGCGAATGAAGAACCGGAATTCGAAATGATTTTGAGTGTTCAGGCGGGAGGTCGTCTGGTGGTAATGATATTAAAGAAAAATTACATGTACATGGGTGAAATGGAGGTATACGGGGAGGAACCTATGGAACAAGTTACACACAATCTTAGGGCGTTAATTGACGTTTACTATGGAGACAGGAATAATATCCTTCCTGGCAGGTTTCCGGAAGCGGAAATCGTCGAATTATGTCAAACGTTATGGGATTGGTTCCGGAACCCATACGCGTGTAATATATCAACAATACCATTTTGTTACCACCTGAACATTAATCGGATGACCGATCAAGGCGGAGCTAAACCAGTAGGCGTAGCGAGCATAGTGTATGACCGCACTGAACCACCTGTATTTAAGGGGGATGAAAATGAACAACAATTGAATAACAATATAGCACTGGCAAAAAGGGTCATCAATGAATTTTGGGAATTAAATAAGGAAATAAACAAGGAAGCATGGGCACATTATTTAAACAGTAATAGCTATAGGTTGTATAGGTTACTAGATGATAATAATGATAGAAATAATGTTAGTAATAATAATATTAGTAATAATGGAACACGGGAACCTAACATTAGAAATAATAATATGACTGAAGCAGCTGGACTGTGGTGGTCGGATAGTGATAATGAGAATGATAGTTTAGGAAATATAACGCCGAGTAATACAATTAGTAATATGGACGAGTTGGACGATTTTAGCGATAGCGATAGCAATATTGACATTTATAGGAATATACGTAGTAGTAATTATGAAAACGATGTTATGGATTTACTTAATGTAGAAAATAATTTAACTATAGAAAGTATTTTTAATGAAGTAGAAAATAGATATTATATAGATAGGAATAATAATGAGAACCAATAATTAAAAAAAAAAAAAAAAAAAAAATGAATGATACTAATTAATTTTGATAGTTGGTGGTATAGGAACGGTGGGAGTTGCCACCATATTCTGAACGAACAAGCAACCACCGGAACTCACTGACAACGAATTATAAATTAATTAGTTCAATTTTAAACGCGATAAGTGCGCGTATTTTGTCCGAGCCGGCGAGATGATACGAAATAATATATATATTAGAAATTATTTCAACAAGTTAAAACGAGTTTGAACTAAAATGTATATATATTGTTTTAGGTTGTCTCTGGTTACGACAGGGCAAGGTCAAAATCCATATAGGGTGGAAGAATTTCGAAATCAAACATTGATGTATTATGAAAACTACGGGACGGTTCGGTTGACAGGAGCGACCTGGCAACTGATAACGTATTTACCGTTAAAAAAATTATGACCTTAGGCATGACAAATTGCAATCGGAAATAAGTATAGTAACTAGTCTTTGTAAAGATAGCGCAACAACACTAGATATGTGTTCTAGGCTAGACAATATCTTCAAAGTAATGTTTCAGGAAATTTCTTTACAACGAGAAAAAATGTACGAATCAATAGGTAGGTACACCGAACAATCGGAAGCAACCACATACCCAAGTAGGAAGAGACGGGGTCTAATAAATTTCGTAGGTTCGGCTATGAAAACTTTATTTGGGGTATGCGATGAAGAATGTGCAAAAGAATCGGTGGAAGAAATAGGTAAAATAGAACGAACTAACGAACGCATGTTACACATACTTAAGGACCAAACTACGGTAGTTAAATCTACTGTAAAGTGTTGCCAGATGGGGCGATTTTTCGCCAAAGTGGCGTTTTTGGGCATGCGTTTGGCGTACAATTGTTTGATTTGGCGTTTGGCTCTTAAAAAGGCGATACTCAAAAAAGATATGGCGAAAATTGGCGTTTTAAAAAAAAATTTTATTTTCAAAAATACATTTTTTGAATAAAATATTTATGTAGTATATAATTATTTAAATGTATGATTTAAAATTGTAAACAATAAATGAATTATTTGTTACAACCAGTCTGTTGTTCTTTAACACATTATACTATATATTATTAAAAAATTATTATTAAAACCCAATTAATTTGATATTTAACTTTATATAGTTCAGTAAGATATATTTATTTATCTATTGTGGCCTTAGGGATCATCTTAAAGTTGATGCTATTAAGATAAGACCAGAAAATATTATTTATATAGTACTATTTCACTATACTACATGAAAAATAGAAATAATTGTTGCAAAACTGGTATTATATATTTTCCAAATAAAAACCAAAATATTGTAGTAAAAACCATTACTTATTAGTGATTACGATACCTGATTTATGTAACACAGTATTTAATATGGACAAATGGTAATAGATTTAAAAACTTTATTTATTAACTTAACTTTATTATTTTATTAAAATTACTCGGCATATTAATATATTCTAATAATGGGAAAAATTGAAAAATTAAGAAAATACCGTAAGACATGGGAACAAGACAGTTGGGCAAAAGGTGTGTATTATTATTATATTAGGCAGAGCAAATTAATGAATATTAATATTATCAATATATACTTCCTTTAGGTTGGTTAACAGAAGCTGATCCTAATGCTAATACTTTAGTTGAAGCATACTGAAAAGTTTGCTGTTCTTATTTAAGAGCTCATTTGACCGACTTGAAAAGACATGCAGTCACCAAAACTCACCGTAAAAAAATGGCCAGATTAAATCCTGTAAGAAATCAGCAATCTGTTTTAAGTAATATTGTTATTACTAATGAACAAAAAACAATTGATTTAAAGTTAGCTGTTTATGTAGCTACTCACACTGCAATTAAAAGTGTAGATCATTTGTGTGAAATACTTAAAATAATTGGAAAAGTACAACTCTTGGTAATTTAAAACTTCATAGAACAAAATGTTCATCGTTAATCAAATATGTCATTGCTCCATCTTTAATTGAAGAACTCGTCCAAGATATCGGTACCAGTTATTTTTCTCTGATTGTTGACGAATCGACTGATGTTTCAGTTTTCAAATACCTATGCATATGTATTAAATATTTTAGTGTGAAAAGTGAATCTATGAATTTACAGTTTTTAGGTATTATTGAAGTTGTTAGTTGTACAGCTGAATCACTTTATAATTATATTTGTAAATTCATGGATGAAATACATTTAGATTTAGGAAATGTAATCGGTATAGGTAGTGATGGGGCAAATAATTTGTGTGGAAAATTCAATTCTCTTTTTACTCGTTTAAAACAAAAAAGCCCAAACTTACAGATTGTTAGATGTATTTGCCACTCCTTAAATAATGCCGTATCTAAAGCATCTGAAGAATTAAAGAAGAAATAGATCATATGACGATATTTGCAATTTATTTATTTTTTTGGAAAAAAAATCATGCAAAGAGCAGTAGTTTCAAAAGGGTTTCAAAGTATATATGATAACATTAATAAGTCTGTATGTTACTTAAATATAAAAAATTGTGATTTTGGGATTGGATATAATCAAGCAATACTCAACATTAATTTGTCTCCAGAAAACAAAATTTGTATAGAAACAAGGGCATTTCATTTTATTAAGGAGTTGTTGCAAGAAATAAAAAAAAGATTGCCTGATAATTTAGAATTTTTTAAAAAATTAAAATTATTCTCACCTGCACAATGCTTGAATCAAATAAATACACCCTTTAGTGATTTGCCGTTCATTAATATATTTCTAAATCAAACTGATTTTATTTTGGTGGGAACGCAGTGGGATAAATTGGTAACTGTTACCTGGAAAATGTACCTTAATGAAAAGGAGTTACACGATAGTCACCAATTTTGGCCTAAAGTGTACAATTATCAAGATGCTGGAGGTAATTATGCGTTTAGAGAATTAGCAGGATTTGTTCTTAAAATCCTTTCCTTACCATCAAGTAATGCTGTTGTAGAAAGGGTATTTTCTATTATGAATACTGTTAAAACTAAAGCTAGAAATAGGATAAATACTAAAATGTTAGATGCTTTATTAAGAATTAAATGTACATTCATTTCTACAAACAAATGTTGCACTACATTTTCCCCATCTAAATTGATGTATGATAAATTTAATTCTGAAATAATGTACAAATGTGTAAATAATGTAAATACTGTGAATAATGTGATAGATGAAGAATTGTTGACCGATGAATTAGTTGATATTGTAAATGAAATAAGTTTACCAGATTTTTATGACTAACAATATTACTTAATCTAAATTATTGGACTATTATAGTATTGTATTTTTATATATATAGAAAAATTAAATAAATACCTAGTTTGTCAATATTATGTTGTTGGTTATTACTTGGTAGGTTGTACCTTGTACTACAACCGTTGTAAGTACATCGTATTCGACATTCGTATATAGAAAATAAATGTATGTACAGTTTCCATGAATATAAATAAGTAACTTATAGGTGGGTTTAACTGACGATTTAAGAGAATAAAATAAATGCAATATATTTTTTTAGAAGATAGAGTATAGACGTATAATTGCCTAACTGACATTTACATATTCTAAATTTTGGCGATAGATGGCGTTAATAAACATTTTTTTTTGATGGCGATAAATGGCGTTTTTATCAGAGAAGTTTGGTGTGTGACTAGTTTATAAGTCTGGCAACACTGACTACATCTGATGAAATAAATAAATTATACAGTGAGTTAGTAAATAAAAAAGATATAATAAACGAAGTAATTAATAAAACCAACACATTAGAGGCATTAGTTTTATCAAACAAAGTACATGGTATATTCACAGCGCTATTATCACAATATTCAATGGAAACGCAATCGATAAGTGCTATTATAACCGCGGCTAGGACCGGAGTAATACACCCAAGTTTAATGACACCGCGTGAAATGGCAGAACATTTAACACAAATTAAGTTAACTTTACCAATTAATTTAAATTTACCTATGGGCACGAATCCGAATGAAATTTATGAATTAAGTAAAATTACGAAAATGGCAGTGTTCTATAAAGACAGTCAAATCGTTTTCGTAATAAAGCTTCCGCTGGTTACCGAATTAGAACTCACGTTGTTCAGAATACTTCCAATACCACAACCGGTTGAAACAATGATTAATGGAATAAAGAATAAAAATCATAGTATTGTTTTAAAACCAGAATTCCAATACGTAGCGATTACAAAGAATAGGGAACAATGTACCACGTTCACAGAGACTCAACTTTTACACTGTACGGAAACAGAAATATTCACAATATGTCCAGAATTTTCGCCAGTAGTTCACTCGAACAACAAAAATCCATGTGAGATAGCTTTATTCAAAAATCCGGATGTCTTGCCAGAAACATGCGAGACGGGAGTTTTAGTATTGTCAAAAGATATATTTTATAAGTTAAAACATGCGAACACTTGGATATACACAACAAAGGGAGAAACGTTAACTATAGCGTGTAGGGAAAACTCGGAACCGTACATTACGAAAATACGAAAGCAAGGATTAATTTGGTTGAGCTCAAAATGTAGAGCGTACGGGAACGATATTATCTTAAATCCAACACAAGAAATAAAATCAAAACATTATGCTAACTTTATACCCGAAGTGGGACAGGGAAAGATATCATTTAAAGTATCTGATAGAATCAAAAGTATGAATCTACCTAAAATAATGGTTAAACAAGATTCACATAAACTCGAAAAAATACACGAAATAGCACAATCGCTAGATAAAGTACAACAACAAATTGATAATGAATTGTTAACACAATCAGGACAGCTAGAAGCAAGCGATACGCGTAATTATTTATTTTATTTAACATTGGGCTTGATAGTATTCTCGGTCATGTTAATCATATTTATATACATAACGTATAAATGTAGGCTTACTTCGTTACGACGTCCACAATATGAAATGGTACGACTAGGTAGAAGTAAACTTTGTACGGATAATATCAGAGTTGAACAAAAATTTAATAAGATAGACGAACAAAGTCCACTTGGAGGGGAGGATGTACCACCCCAAATAAAATAACCTATGAGGGAATATTTTATTAGTTAGAAAAAAAAAAAACACATATTTACACAAGTAGTTAGAAATAGTAGTTAGACTGAACCACATTAATTTTTAAATTAATAATAATATTAAATATATTACCGACTTTTACATTAGAAGGGAAGTCAAGTTCGTTGTCATGGATTTCGAATTCACAAATATGAAGAGAACAGACATTGTGCTAATATCAGGGGCGATTTCAAACAGCCTAAACAAATGTAAGATTCGTAAGCTCGAGGGGAAACCGCTTCTCTTGCCACTTCATGAACAGGTAAGAGTTATGACTGTTCGTGAAACACAGTTGGCAGAGAAATCAATAAGGGCATAAGGCGGATTTTTTACAACAAAAAGAAGGTGGAGACGACCTGCTTAGCGCAACTTAATAAAAGTCTGAACTCTCAATTAAATAATTTAACACCAGAATTCATAAGAAATTATATTTTGCATGGAAATAAGATAAATGTAGTGGTATTGTTTGGAGGGTCATACGATAGGAATATCCTAAATAGATTAGGGTTAGGAGATATACAAATACTAAATATTAGATGTTATGATTTAAATTTCGATGGGGACTTTTACATGATATTGGAAAAATTAAGGGGAAAGATTACAGAAAGAATTTTCGAATTTAATGTAGGAAGAATCCAAAAGAATGGTAGGCTATTAAATTTAACGGAAGCACATAGCGGCATATGTACACATAAACACAAAATAACGTATGCTCACGATCCAAAAACCGATGTAAGATTTACAAAGTGTATATTCATCAAAATGGTTAGAGAATATGGGTATCAAAATTTGGTAAAGCAATTCCAACCATTATAGACAATACCACATACATAGAACCACGTTGTGAAATATAATTTTAACGAATTTTAATTTTTATTATAGCAAAATAACAAATAGCTTAACTAACACACTAAGGTAGATTTAAGAAAAAAAAAAAACAAGATAACGCTAGATACTAATAATGAACTAATGAATAATAGTAATCTAAATAAATTAATTTCAGAATAGAACGGGAAAAATATACGATTAGAAATCGAGCGGTACATAATAGGGACATATTTAATCTATTATTGTTGGGGATAGATAAATGTTGCACTATTATATACCGAACGGTTTGACGACTTAAGAAAAATATTGGGATTTGATCGTTTGGTGGTTGGTTCGAAAATCGTGTGTATAACAGATTTTTTAGCGGATCACCAAAAGACCAAATGGCCTTAATAAATCTCAATAAGAAATTACAAGGACAAAATCTTGTTAGTTTAACCAGTGTCGCGGGAAGATGCTTTGATTTACAGCACACTCTTGCGTCACGGGTTCAATTAGCAAGGTAGAACCATTACGGAAATAGAATAAAATAGAATCGATTTAGTACTAGTCTTGATCATGTAATAGAACTTGAATACAATAGTTTATTGCTGATCTGGGCCTGTAGTAAAAAGATACAATCTAAATACAGTATAGAAATAGTAATATTAACTAGATATAAAATATAATAATATAACGGTTATTGGAAAATATATATATAGTAGCAAACGTAGACGTAGAAAAAAAAATAATAAAAAAAAAAAAATGAAAAAAAAAAGGAATTTTAGGATTAAAATTTTTATAAAATAATATACAAATACTTAAAGGAACATATTAGCATATATTGGACATAATTAACATGGTGATGGAATAAGGAATATATTAATCTAATTTATTTAAAATATAATTAACATGGTAATGGAAAAATCAAATATAGTACGCACCACTATTTTATCATATATATATATTGCACGGAAAAAAAATATATTGTAATAGATTTTAAGAATTCATATTATACTAAAGGAAATATTTACACATATTATATTAACACTAAAATAAGATTATTTTATTATTGTAACACAAAAAAAAAAAAATGAAAAAAAAAGAATATATTGTTAATCACATAAGATACTAACCTAGATAATAAGCAAAATATATACTGTAATATTGTGGATTATAATCTGTATTTTGTCAATAATAATTAATATGGTGGAATGTACCATATAGCTATAATGATGTATTTAATGTAAAACATAACATGTAACATGTAATAATTGAATGTAATGTAATAATTGAATGTAATAATTGATATATGTAAAATTTGTAACCATAGGAAAGTGCTTGAACTAATGGAGGAGGTTTGAGTTAATTTTTCTCATTTTAAACGATAAAAATCAACTTTTAAAGGGGGAGATGTAGTAAGCGAGTTACTACTTAACAAATAAAACAAATTCCACAGGTACATAATTAGTATACTATACTGTAATTCGGCATATATCGGATATTAGAATCGGAAATAGGATTTCCTACTGTTTAACATACGAAGACAGGCTCACTGAATAATATAATTACTCAGGAAGCCCTGTATACGACAATGTTCAAATATAAAATATAAAATAGTAGAATGATTATTTTAATTACAACGCTGTACGCAATAATATTCAATATAAAAATATAAAAGAGTAGAATGACTATTTCAACTGGAACATAGATTAGCATTTTACCAATACGCAGAATAATACTGGGAAGTCATAAAATGCGTGGGCTGGAACGATGGTCACACCAGATCACATCCGTGTGCCGAGATACAGTATCTATAGGCAAAGGGTAAGGGGAACTTCATATAAAAGGGAGCCCGAAACGACCTGTATTCAGACGTGTACTACCAACCACTAGTGCAAGCACCTTCACGCCACTCTGTCTAACATTATTTGGACTTAGAAAATTATCAACGTTAAAATAAATTCACAATAATTAACATCTGTCTTTTATTTATTCATCATCCACGACTACAACATCAAATAAAGTGTCTGCGACCTGCAATCATAATAACTTGGTTGCCACTTATCTACTGTCAGTACTACGATAGTAGGTACCAAGCATCCAGGCTTATTACACTATTACTTTTTTATTCTGTTTATTATCTATTTTAGTTATTTATTTATTTATTTTTTTTTTTTCTTATCTTATGTGATGTTCTTGATATGTTTATTTAATATTGTAATTGCATGAACTCTCACCTCCAGCACAGCCTTTGGCTTAGGAGGTGATCCAACAAAAATTTGTCTTTTAGTAATTTAACTTGTATATATTGTTTGTTGGAGAATTAATAAATATTATTATTATTATAATATATTCTCTAATCTACGGGCTCAATGTAAAGTTGTTAATAAGACCGATTAGGGAAATTTTATACAGAGAACTCAAAGTTCAATAACCTCTAATCCTAAAAGGTTCTGAAATTATATTAATAGCAAACGATCAAATTCTAATATTCCATCTGTTATCTCATATAATAATCAAAGTGTTACTGGTGGTGACAAAATCGCCGAAAGTTTCACCAATTATTATTCTACTATTTACCAACAATTAAATTTTATGCAAAAACCACCCGATGTCATTACATCGATGAAAGTCGATTTGAACACTTGCGTCATTACTTTAAGGGGCCTCATGAATGTGCGTTTTTTTCTCAAAAACTACTGTTTCTAATTCCAACGTTACGTGTCGAGAACCATCACGATTTTCATTCTGAAAAAATATTCTGATTGTCAGTAATATGTACGAGGGATCGATCGAGCCACATTTTTTATTTTAATAATTTAAAATTGCAATAAATTTTGTTAAAATTTTCTAAAATTTTCATAATTTCAACCTTAAATATTTAATCAACTAAATATAATTATAAAAATTCCCTCGATCGATCCCTCGTACATGTTGTAGAAAATTAGAATATTTTGTCAGAATAAAAATCGAGGTAATCGTTCCGACGTACTGTTGGAATTAGACTTGTCTGTTTTAGTGAAAAATAAAATTTTTTTTCGCGATCACAAAATATAATCCGACATGTGCGTGCGAGTGCGAGCGAGTTCCTTCCGTACCCGTTACACACAATATCAATTATTACCGTCGCGTCGCGTTCCTAGAAAAGTTCAGATAACGTCTATACTTATAATTTAGTATAATAATATTAGTAATAGTAAATACATATATTTAGATTTCGGTATTATATTATTATGTTTATTGGATACCTAGGTGGGTACAGTACTACTACTATTATAAAGGTAGGTAGGTATAATTGTTTTTCTAAATTATTTTCCTCGGCTATCGAATGTTAGCATTATTCGACAGTCAACAACCATCCCGTCAAGTTCGATTTTATTATTTTAAAATGAGTCCAAAATATGCACCGAAAACAAAAATTGCACCATCGAAAAGAAAAAAACACAGAGGTTTTATAAATTCAATTAGAAACCCCCACACAGTGAAACAACGAAATGTAGATGAGACTCCGTAAGTATTTTTTTATAATTTATAGATGTAAAATATAATATAATAGGTATTATATATTATATTATATAATATTATTATTTGTTGATTATTTAATTTTGGATTGTATAGAAAAAACGGTAATTTTGATCGAATGCAAAATGACAGTCCAACTCAATTTTTTGCCGAAGTAGAAAATACAAAATTGAATACTAGCACTTCACCCATTAAAAACAATGATCCCAAAATACAAAGTTTATTTGGACGTAGAATTGTTGATATAGCTTATATTTTTAAACAAATAGTAGATGCTGATCACCACATACCTTTTGACTGTTCCTTTAAGGACATGGTATGTGTGAATGAAAAACAGGATGGATTAATATCAAGCTTTAAATTCATTTGTTTGTTGTGTAATACTCAAAAAGTAATCAATTCAGAAAAAAAATTAGATCAAGAAGTAATGAATCTAAATACAGCGATTGTAGCCGGAAATATGAATGTTGGAGCGGGATTTAGCCAGTTGGAGACTATTACATGTGCAGTCGAGATACCTCCTATTTCACAATATATATATGATAAACATCATAGTATTGTTTGTTTGGGATATGAAAAGGCTGCAGCTAATGCAATGGAAGAGGCTGCTAAAGAAGAAGCACAATTAGCAATTTTGGCAGGAAATGTTGATAGTGACGGAACTCCACTCGTTACAGTTGTCGCAGATGGAAGCTGGTGTAAACGATCGTACAGAAAAATGTACAACTCATTATCTGGCACGGTGAGTACCTACCTAATATTAGTAATCTAATGAAAATTAAATAAAACAGAAATATTTATTAATTAGTATTGCCTTAGTATTTTATTATAAATAAGTTAATAAAATATTTTGAAACATCTGTAGAAAATTTCAAGTTTCTACGATATAATTTATATTTTTTTAATAATAACAAAAATCAAAATTCGTTTGATATAGTAAATCGTTATTTTACGCATGCATTTTTTGAAAATAAAATATATGAATGTATAGGTTTTACAATGATGTGTGTTTTTTTTTTTATATTTTTATATTTTTTATTTTTTTTGTGTCTGTCATCACGTTTTGGGACAGTAAAAGTGCTTAGATTTTCTTCAATAGTACCTTTTCTGATAGGAAAGTGAATCTAGTTAGTACTTTGGGGGGGTCAAAAGTAAACATTTCCCAGTAGTTTTCACAAGCGCCGGGAAAAACAACATAAAAATTAAGGAAAAACGGGAATTTTTACGCAAAATTGGTTTTCCAAAAAATCGATTTTGGTTTTTGGTTTAACTCTAAAACAAATGAACGTATATACATGGAATTTTAACTAGTTGTTTATATTAGTATTTTCTATACATGATACAATTTTAAAAATATTTTGATTTGTTTTGAACTATTTACGGACATATTCAGTTTCTTATTGTTTTAGTTTTTTTTTTAATGAATGTCAGTAAAAATGTATTTGTTGGGTAGAAAAACTTGAAAATTTAATACAAGGCTCTTAATATATCGTTACAATGATAGTTGGAGAATATTAAAAATCCGTAGTCACAATTTGTTTTTATAAGCATTTAAATTTCAAATTTTAGCAAAATACGAAAAAATCACGAAAATATGTAGATTATTTTGAGTTAGAAATTCATAAAAATTTTTCTATTTAAATCTAAGATTTGAAAATGTAATGCAAGATTCCTGATAGGTTTATCTACCTTTATCACAAAAAAATTTCTACAAGAAAGGCAAATTAAATTTTTATTGACGTTTGAAGTTCAAATTTATCCAACCTTGGATATTCAGTCGATTTCTCATGTGGCGAATTTCTTATTTTGCTGTATTTCAAAAACGAATAACTGTAGATACTTGAAATTTATATCATATGTTTATTTTATCATTTGCTATACTTGATAAAATTTTCAAAATATTTTGACTCATTTTCAGCTGTTTACAGACATATTCTGTTTTCATTTTTTTTAGATTTTTCTATGAATGTCAATAAAAATTTATTTTTTTATTTATTTGTTGGCCCAAAAAGCTTGAAAATTTAATACAAGGCTCCTGATATTTGGTTACAAATGCAGTTGAGAAAGATTAAAATACATAGGCACAATTTTTTTTTATAAGCATTTAAAGTTCGATTTTTGATAACATTTATAAAAATTAAAATTTAAAAACGATTTTGGTAGTTAAAAATTTATAAAATGTTCAAATTTTATAGTTAACGATTGAAAATTTAAAACAAGGCTTTTTTTAAACCTTAGGTACCTATGTGAGTGACGACTTTATATTTTAGATTCTGAGCGAAGTTATAAATGTATTGATTTTACAATGATGTGTGTTTTTTTTTTTTGTGTCTGTGTACACGAGAAGTAGTCGAAATAATGCTATGATTTTCTTCAACAGTATCTTTTCAGATGGGAAAGTGAATCTAGTTGGTGCATTCGGGAGGTCATTTTTTGAAATTTCCAATAGTTTTTTATAAACATTTTAAGTTCGAATTTTGACAAAATGTATCAAATTTAAATGTTATAATTATTTTGTAGTTAAAAATGTATAAAACGTTCAACTTTTATATATATAAGGATTGAAAATTAAAAACAAGATTCCACGTAAATAGGAGTATAGTAACTCACCGCCTTCGCTCAGAATCGTTTTTCGTATACAATGATATTTTATCATTGAATTCAAATTTAACACCACCCATTAGTTACAAACTTATCTTTATTTTAAAATTTCAGGCTGCAATAATTGGTTACAAAACAAAAAAATTGCTTTTCCTTGGTGTAAGAAATAAATACTGTTCTATGTGTGCCCGTAAAAAACCAGATGACAGTCTAACAGCGCACAAATGTACTAAAAACTGGCCAGCTACGCATAGTTCATCAGGCATGGAATCATCAATTATTGTTGAAGGCTTTTTACAAAGCGAGAAAATGTATGGTATTAGATACAATAAGTTAATCGCAGATGGTGACAGTAGCGTGTATAAAAAAATTTTGGAGGCAAGACCATATAAAAATTTAACTGTAGAAAAAGTGGAATGTAGGAATCATCTTTTACGAAATCTTTGTAATAAATTAAAAGATATGACTGTGAAAGCACAATCGGGTAAGCTTGAATTTCGAAAAATGTTAAGTGGTAATATACTTAGAATTCGTCGGGGTATCGTATCTGCTATCATGTATCGTAAGGTGAATGGGCATTCTGTTGCAGAGCTTAGACAAGATATAATGAATAGCATCAATCATGTTTTTGGACATCATGAAGAGTGTGCTTCATATTTTTGTGTAAAAAATAAAACAGACATTGCATATTACATTGAAAAAATCAAATCGATGGATCAAGAGTTTTATGCCAATGTAATGAAACACATTAGAAACTTGGCCAGACACAGTGGTAGTTTGCTACAAGATGTGGACAGCAATATAGTCGAGTCATACAATGCTATAATTGCAAAAGTAATCGGTGGGAAACGTATAAACTTTGCAATGAATCGTTCTTATTCTGGCAGATGCATGCTAGCAGCCGTAACCAAAAACACAAGTCGCCCGCTTTATTCTCTTCATAAGGTGTTGTACCATAAAAGTCCATCAAAACGAGGATTTTTAAGTGCTGTAGAGTTAAAAAGAAAAAGAAAACAAAATATTCAAAATATTGCCAGATTAAAAAATAAAAGATTTAAAAAACAACTTTTTAAAAACAATGGTCCCGATTTATCGTATGGAGAAAATGCCGTTAGACCCGATATGGATCATTTAGAATTTGATCGACAAAAAGAAGACATTTTAAATGAAATGAAAGAAGTAGCATCAAAAAGAGACGAAATTCAAAAACAAACTGTCGAACAATGCGAGAATGTACAGTGGAACGAAGTACGAAGAAAACTTTTAACGGCTTCTAATTTCGGACGTATCATCTCTCGAAGACCATATACTGGCTGTGAAAATATTGTCAAGAGTCTTTTATACAACACACAAATAATGGCACATTCATTAGATTATGGTCGTGAGAATGAGGTTGTTGCTAAAAAAGAACTTGAAAAAATTTTGAACAAGCCTATACGTGACTGTGGTATTTTTATAGATGCAGAGCATTTCTTTTTAGGTGCTACTCCAGATGGTTTACTGGATGACGATGGACTGGTTGAAATTAAATGTCCATACTCTGCTGCTAATATGACTCCCGATGAAGGCATATTAAATAAAAAAATTGATTTTTGGTCTATAAATAAAGATGGGAGTATTGGAAGTTTTAAAATAAGACATAAGTATCACTATCAAATTCAAGGACAAATGAAAATTGCACAAAAAAAGTTTTGTGTATTTGCTGTGTGGACTCCAAAAGGAATAAAAACGGAAACAATCTTTTTTGATAAACAATTTTGGGAAGAACAAATGTTTCCAAAATTACAAACATTTTTTTACGATTGTATATTACCTGAGATCGTGGACCCAAGGTATCCAGGAAGACCAATTAGAAATCCGCAATCAATTGTTCATGCTCAACAAGAGCAAAAAAAAACTAAAATAGTCGTACATAGGCCATAGAAAGTGTACAACATAAATGTTATTATAATGTCGTTAAAATATAATGAATATTTTATTCTTGTTTAATTATTTTAAAGTTGTAAATTTTGTGGTACCTACTTATATTATATTATCATCAATATATCATTAAAAACTTAGTAAAATACTTTTCCCGAATACCGAATAAGTTACATATTTTATAACTACCAAAATTATATATGATTTTTATCTAAATATATATAATATTATGTCATCTGAAATTTGGGGAACAACTGTATACGCTACTGGCGGACGCCGGACACCCCCTTTGAAAAAATCCTGGTTGCGCATGGTTTTTATAAATGTTCATGCGGAACGGTCGAAGCTACGAATTCTCGATGGTTATCGGTAAATAGTAAATACTGAATATAAAAAAAAAAAGTCTAGTGACTATTATCGTTATCATTACGTACGGAAAACGAAAACAATGAACGGGACTTATTCCAAGAAGACATCGCGTGACCGCCGCGACAAACGTCTGACTAATGATCTAATGGCTGGGTGTAGAGTAGGCATTGTTATATGCGGGTTACTACTACTAACGATAATTTACGACTAAGGCCCGATGCACACGTGCGTTTTTCACCGCTGCGGTGCCGCTGCGGCGCCGCAGTTGTTGAATACACACCATTGCGTTTTTGTTGCGGTAACCGCACGTCATCCAGTCGCCCGAGACGGCCTTCAGCATGGAACATCACTTTAGTTAGTTTTTAGTTGCCATTCAGTTACCAACTATGGAGGTTTATTACAAAAAAAAGGCAATTTTAGCGTACTTGGTGCACAAAAAATATGTACGTACGTATGATAGACGTTACTGGGTGCACCCATTTACAGATTCAAGATTATTAAGAGGTGAATTTTATACTACATTCAGTGATATAAGAGAAAATCCAGAAAAGTTTTTTACTTATTTTCGAATGAGTGTTCGCTCGTTTGACGAACTAGCAACAAAAGTATCTCCAAAGCTTATCTCTCAAGACACGTGTATGAGACTCTCTATACCACCACTAGAAATGATTGCAGTAACTTTGAGGTAAGTTAATTCTATTGATATTATTTATTTGCGTAAGTAAGTACTAAATGTATATATAATATAATATAATATATAAAAGGTATAAACGTGAAAAACATATTTATTTACTTTTTAAATATATGGGGTTTAACATTACAAAATATAGGTACACATAGGAAATGTATAAGTAATGTACCAAATAAAATAATATTACTTTGTTAAATATTTTTAATTAATGTCAAGACTATCTTCTTCACTAACACTGTAATTTTTTCCAATTGATGTACATGGAGATGTAGGATTGGAATCCATCCCATAGTTATTTGATTGATCAAGTGGAGCAGAATATGGGCCAGGTTGAGTATATCTTGGCGGGCTTTGTTGCATGTTATTTGATTGAGGAAGTGGAGCAGAATATGGACCAGGTCGGGTATATCTTGGGGGGCGTTGTTGCATGTAATTGGGAGTTTGATGTTGGTATGATGCAATTTGAGGAGAGTAGTTTGATAACTGTGATGTTTGATTAGCATATAAGTAATCCTGATTAATTGGTGGATAACCATAGTTTTGTGGCGGTAAAGTTGCAGCCCTCATCCGTTTTATAATATTTAGTACTTCACAGCGGAATTCTATTTTCTGGTCTTCTGTTAAATTTGCAATGGATGGCAATATGCTGTCGAAAAAAGACCTGTCTGGATTTGGTTCTGGAGCTGGTGTTGTTATAATTTGACTCGGAATAGGAGTGTTTAAATAATCGATTAAAGATGACTCTAAGTCGTGTTTGCGTTTTTTTGATGAACTGCTTTGTGTGTATGAGGGAGGTGTTTCAGCTTCTTCGTTAGATTGGTTTGCTAATAATTCTGTATCCTCCTGTTCGTCGTTCCCATCAAAACTACCCTGTGTATTGGTTGTGGCCCCGGCTGTTAGTAAAAAAGATAGCTGACGATCATAAATGTAACGTCTCGATAAGTTGGCACCCTGTCCTGACGTCGTTTTGTTTTTTTTTTTACTTTTAGTATAATTGTCTTTTATGTTTCTCCACTTTTTGATAAGTTTTTCACCTAAGAAAAAATAAATTTATATAATTCGTGGGAGTATACAAGTGCAAGTTGAAAAAGATGACGGTTTGTCAGTGTGGGTATTTTATATTATATTATTTATATTTTTATTACTTAGTTATTAATACGGTGGCCGGTATAAGTTGAATTAATATTGTAAAATTACAAAAAAAATATTTAAAATACTTATTCTTGGTTTTTTAATATAATTAGACAAACTTATGAAGGATTTTATGAAGAAAATTATCATTTTTTGATGAATTTTATTAAAATCAATTTTGTCGAAAATTGGGTTTGCCTAAAAATTGCCGTTTTTTCCTTAATTTTTTATTTGTTTTTTCACGAAGCTTTTGAAAACTACTTTAATTTTTACTTTTGAATCCCTCCCCCCCAAAGTAACAACTAGATTCACTTTCCTATCAGAAAAGGTACTATTGAAGAAAATCGAAGCATTTTTACTGTCCTAAAAGGTGATGACAGACACAAAAATAAAAAAATAAAAAAACACACATCATTGTAGAATCAATACATTCTTTCGCTTCGCTCAGAATCTAAAAATATATGAGTATAATTATATGAGTCGTAATTTCATTACAGGTACTTGGGAAGTGGTTGTGATCAGATAGATCTACATTTAACTTATCGGATAGGACACTCAACTATTGGAAAAATTTTGAGAAGAGTTTGCGGTGTTATATGGGAAGTACTACGATCTGAAACATTTCCTGAGCTGAAGGAAGAACAATGGAGAGATATAGCAGATGGATTTCAAAACTACAGTCAGTTTCCCAATTGCTTAGGGGCAATCGATGGCAAACACGTTAGAATTCGTAAACCGAAGATGAGTGGGTCACTTTTTTATAATTATAAAAATTATTTTTCAATTGTTTTGCTCGGCATCGTAGATGTAAACTACAAGTTTATTTATATTGACGTTGGCGCTTTCGGTAAAGAATCTGATAGTACGATTTTTGAAAAGACAAATTTTTATAAGGCACTTGAAAATAATACACTGAACATTCCAAAAAGCCGACCCCTTCCAGGTACTAATATAAATATGCCTTACACATTTATTGGTGATGAAGCTTTTTCCCTTTCGTCGAACATCATGAGACCTTACAGTGGAAAAGTATTGTCTCATAAGAAAAGGGTTTTTAATTATAGACTTTCCAGAGCTAGAAGGCATGTTGAAAGTGGGTTTGGTATAATGTCAAATAAATGGAAAATATTTCATAAGCCCATAAATGCTAATTTGGATTTAGCCATTCAAGTGGTAAAAACATGTTGTTCACTTCATAACTATGTTAGAGTTAGAGATGGAATCAACATACAAGATGTCATGAGTGTTACAGGATTTGTTGACGCAGAACAAGATGGAGGAACAACAAGTACAACTAACCAGTATATTCAAACGAGAAATAAGTTGGCTGATTATTTTGTTTCGGATGTTGGCAGTGTTCATTGGCAAAATAATTACATTTAAGAACTTTTTTTTAATGTTATTTAAATTAAAAATTATAATTTATACTATATTCAAATTTGGTTAAATCAGTAAATTTAGGTATTGTCGTAATATTTTAGGGATAATATTTCATTTTACATGTACAATTGTTTTTATAAAATATTTGTTACTTTTTTTAATATAATAAAATATAATGGGTAAGAGAAAAATACAAAAAAATTATAAATTATAATATAATAGTAAGTTGCTAATTGTATAGTTCACCTAAGGATTTACTTAATTTTTCAATAAACATATCTTTATTAATAATATTTAAAAACATAAAAGTTTCGACAGTTTTTCATAGTTATCAAATAGCTATCAAGTATCATAGTATTTAGCAGTGGCGGCTCGTACTATGGAGCACAGGAGCATATGCACCACCTATATTTTTTAAGAATATTAAATTGCTCTTAAGCATTAATTGTAATATATAATATTTATGAAAGGGATTAAACTATTCTGTTGACTAATTAGCTATTACAAATATATTTTATAAATGTGCACCACTAACTATTTTACCCACGAGCCGCCACTGATATTTAGAATACTTTTTAAATTTGTAACTACAAAATAATTTGTGCATTTTCAAGATTTTGACGAATTTTAATAATATTGAAAATACTTACATATATCATTTCTTTCTTTGTCGTCCTTTTCATCAAACGATGGGAAATAATTCTGGCAGATGCTTATCCAAGCACTTCTTTTTTTGGTCCTATCGTGATAATTTTCATCAGCGATGTTCCAAATTTCTGTATGACTTTTGACTTCACCGATCAACAACTCAATGTCAACATCGTCGATTTCGGACATCTTGCGTGGAAAAATCGGACGTGTGCATGAGTCGATATACAACAATGTACTACTGAACCGGATTTGCGTGCGCGGTGCCGTTGCGGCGACGTTGTTATCTGCGGCAGACACCGAACGCAGCGGTGACGCAGCGGCGCCGCAAGACATGTGCACTGCTCGATTTGATCACATATAAAGTTCGCCGTATTAGCGGCGCCGCAGCGGCACCGCAGCGGCGAAAAACGCACGTGTGCATCGGGCCTAATACAACGACAAGGCTGATTGCCGAATGTATAAGAAGTTGCCTATAAAATGTTCCTTAGAATTCAGTAATATGGAGGCCCCTTAAGCGATATTTATGATGAGTTAAGCAGCTTAAAATCCACTACTTGTCCTGGTCCTGATAGGATTCCGTATACTTTCTTTACTAACTGAAAATGTGTTCTGTCTATCCCTTTATTATACTTTATTTAAACTTATTTAATACATCACTTAAATCCGGTGTTTTTCCGGATAAATGGAAAATTTCTTATATTAAACCGATTCCTAAAGGGGAAGATATTACTTTAGTCACTAATTATCGGCCAATTTCTTTAATTTCGATTATCCCTAAATT